ATTAAAAAATATATTTCTATTACTGATGAATTTCTGACGGCCACCTTTATCAATAGATTTCCAAAGGATTTGCACCGATGGCCTATCCTAGCATTACTAATGGTTTCCGCCGATGATCCGTCAATAACTATATATTTTTTTAAATAATTAAATAAACACTATTTCCTATAGAAATATACTTAGTTAGATATTTGTCGATGATCCGTCGGTGATGTATCAATCACCTATGGAAGTTTTCCGTCGATAATGTTCACTGATGATTCTCAGTTTTCTAATAATGTCAGCTTGGTTTATTGTCCTTATCACATAGAAGCAAACACAAACATTATGACTAATAAGAGATAGTGTTTAGAAAATAGGGACTTTTCGCTCCAAAATTTTGTATGATCTGATAGATACTTGTTAAGATGCACAATGACAGTAGCCGGTAAGAAAGCACCAGTCTCAACTAAAACAGTTAGAATTCATGGCCAAGCGATTCCTAACCTTAATAGCTTATTCAAAAAAATTTATAAAGCAAGTCAGTTATAAAGAAGGAGAAAAGCCTTCCTAACATTTTATTGGTCTGACTGAGATATAAAAAGGGCCCGCGATAAGTAAGGAAAATTTTTAAGGCATTGTAATTAACATTGAATCCATAAAAAACTAATAATTCATATAACACTGTTTCCGCCAATATTTTTAGATGCAAAATCAATCAATAACTACTTTTCTTTTTAGTTTTCCCTTTTTCGGGAGGGTTTTGATGTGTCGATTTTGAGTCTAGGGTCGTGTTCTTGAGTCTAACCTCTTTTTTGGTTTCTTTTATGATGAGTAATCCTTTCCTAGCTTCAATTTGTTCTTTTAACATATATACACTTTCAAGTTATATCAATTATTTTTATGTTTGATAAATTTAATTCAATTATAAACCATACATCAGATGATTAACTTTTATTAAAAAAAAATTATCCATTTGTTCAAAGTTAACTATTTATGTCAGTTAATTGATTAACAATGAACATGAACAATATAATTTATTTGATTATATGTTAAATCAAAGTATGGTTACTCACACCCGCGACATATATATACGTATGACCCACACCATGTGCATATGTATTGTTTTTCTATCATTTAATGAAATCATAAATTTGGTTGCTAGCTATTGATGGTATATTTTCCCTATCAATTGGCTGTGGCCACTACTAAAAAAATCTGATTTTTCTGACGGTAAAAGCCAAACTCTTGCTGCTAAATGCAATTTCCGATGGAATTTTTGACGGATTTGTATTTTCCGACAAAAAAATCCGTCGAACAATTTTATAATATGTTATCAATTACCCGGATTAATTAGAAGGAATATAAAATGATATTAGAGTTACCGATGGAAATTCCGTCGGAAATTCGTCGTTAAACTTTTTCCATTTTCTTCCAAAACAATAACCAGTTTTTATTTCAAAAATAAAAATACCATTTTTCCGACGGATTTCTGTCAGAAATTCCGTCGGTAATTATATTTAAAAACTTTTTTTCTAATTTAAAATATGAAAATGCTTTTTATTTTTAATAAACGAAAAATATTTATCGACGGATTTTCTGTCGGAAATCCATCAGACAATCCGCCAGAATTTTTTTTAATAAAACTTATATCTAATTATTTACCGAAGGATTTTCCGTCAGAAATCCATCAGAAGTTTTGCTGTTATAGGAAAAAAAAACCAAAAAACCTCATAATCTAAAATCCTAAAATATAAAGATTCTGTAAATTAAATACAAATAAACAATACACAAATATGTCATAAATACCTAATATGATTATCCAGACGAAATTAATATACATATATAAATTCGATTGATGACGCTAGTTCATAAATAGTATGTATTATTTCTCCATCATTTAATAAGTCAAAAAAATTTAGTAATCAATACACAACTTGAGGGATAACTTCATTGACCAATATTTGTTAATAATCTCAAATCATTCAAGTTTCTCAATAATACAATCATAGATAATTTGGTTTTAGTTTACGAGTTTTTTGTATTTTGTTCCTAGTTAAGAATATTTTAAATATGCGACGATAACTAAATTATGTTCTTTTCATTTTTAGCTTACTTGAAAGTGCGCTTATTATACTGTCATACGCACCCAGACATCGGATCAAGCAGGAACCGGGGATCAAAKTTCCATTGATTCATCTATCTCAAATAAAGGGAAAAGGAATCAAGAAGGGTTAGTTGTGGGTTTCGTCTAGATGCATGCCCTTCTTTTTTGACCTTATGGGATGCTTGGATAAAATCTCTAATGGTTGCTACTTTCTGATTTTGTTCCTTTTGTATTTTGTTGTGTTCTTTTTTATGGGTCGATTTCGTTGTTGTTAGGTCCTTTACGGCTTGGTTTGCTTTCAATTTTCCGGGGCTGGTTGCTTGGCGATCAGTCCCTCGCATATTCAATTCCTTTGTTGTGTACTTTGTTTCTATTTCGTTATATTATATTTGCTTCTAAAAAAATGATAAATTAAGTCCATTATTTTTTATGGAAATCAAAGTTACTATGTATAAATTTTTAATTTATTTTTAAATTATTATGTTTTATGACTTTTTATTTTAGTTGTAAAAACTATTCAAGATACAATTTTTAAAATATAAATGGAGAAATTATCAACAATGATAATTTGAAGATTAAATTGTATTACAGAAATAGATATATCTATACTATATTATAAAGTATTTGATAAAAAAGTTTAAAAATAATTTTTTATGCATGAAGTACTGTTTATTGATGCATATTACTTAAAATTCAAGATTACAAGTGATTTTACGTAAGTACAACTTATTAAAACTTCATTCTTAAATTCGTGTAACTAACTGCAGATAAATATAACCAAATACAATATAAACATCTATTTTAAATATAAAAAAACTAAAATATAATTAAGATAATAATTAAATTCTAAAAAAATGTTTAATTATTATCTTTATAAAAAATTATATTGTTAAACCAAAAAAAAATTACCTTGTTATTAAATCTAAATTAAATTATAATAAAAAATTGAATTAAATAAGTTACACCAAAAAAACGAGAACTATTAAATAATTAATTTGATAATAATATCGATTTTTTTTTAATTTTATGTTATCTTCAAATTTATATTTCATTCAAAAAGAAAAATATTATCCTTTTCTCAAAACCACATAAAATCGTATTATATCGATAGAGAGAGAATAAAAACTAAACATTAAAATCGAGATTTATCTCGCTGCATTGCACGAGTACCTTTCTAGTTATCAATAAATAGATATTTCATATTTACCAAATATTTGCTAGTAAAATGTTTAGAGGAGAGATTTGGCATGGAGAAAAAAGAGAAAATGAACTTGATAATTGGATACTTTGCTTTAGGGGTCTTAAATTTATATCAAACCAAACTAGTTAATTTGTGTATGAATTGTTACAATTTAAATTGATATAATTACAATCGATTAATAGTAACTTATAAAGTGTATAAATTTAGTAGCTATACCGTATTAAAAGTCGCATACCATGTTATTATTTTAGTATGAACTTATTGATTATTAATTAATAATAAAACTTATTTTTATTTTTATGTTTTGGATTTAGAAATAATTTTCATTAAACATTACCATATTTCAGTCCCTTTTTTCATACTAAAATCCCAATCTTAATTAACCCAAAATCGTCAAATTCGTACCGCACCTCCTCTCCATTATTGTCTCCATCCCTCTTATCGTTCACATTGAAGTTGGTATAAAACTAGTACGAATAAGTGTTAGTTTATGTCTTTTTGATGTATTGAATATTAAATATTCTAACTTTAACAGTTTTGTTTGAGTATTTGAATTTTTGCAAGTTTTATTCCTTACAATTAAAACCCATCAAAAATTATATATGTTACATGCAAACTGAAATTCTCATCCAAAATTAGAACAAAATCGCAAAATTTCATGTATGCAACTTGAAATTGGGTACAAAATAAGCATCAACATTTATCAACTGAAAAATGTTGATACAAATTAAATTGATATCACGTAAAATTGATTGGTATATGATATAAGATTTCCTCAACTGAAACAAAAAACTTGATGACATACCAAACCCACTTTATTTTCTACCAATTATGATCTTGATATTCGATTGTTCTCAAGAATATTCCAATTTGACAACCAAGTTGATGGATTTAAAAACAAGGGTGGATATTTTGCAAATTGATTATGATATTTTTTGGGGTGAAAATAATTCGATTTATGATTTTATAATAAAAAATTTAAACGTCTCAATTAACTACAAAAATTAGATAGGAGGTGACTATCTCTACTCGCTACAACAAAATAGAATACTTTACGGAACTTAGTTTTATAGGAAAAAACTATAAAGTGTCTTATTTAAAAGTGTTATAATAAGTTTATAAAACATTTTACGGGTTTTAAAATGTTTTTTTCAGGATTCTTCTAAAAAATAAAATGTCCTATCAGCCATCTTATAGGACATTTTAGAGAAGTGTGATATAAACTCATCTTTTTACACTACACTTGTGTTTATAGGATATCTTTTTCATATAATGTCATATAAAATAGTTCAAGACGTCCTAAAGAAAACCTTATTAAAACGCCTTAAGACATCCAAAACATATTGTAATACATTTTGATAGAACAACTTTATAAATGGTCCTATAATTCAAGTCCTATAAAGTATATCTATAGGACGCTTCAACATTTTAGGCGTCCTATGAAATCAATATAATTTGTTGTAGTGTCCCTTTCATATATTCAATCATATTCCGTTAAAATATACAAGGAAAATTTATGACGACATTTTTTTTGTTATTTTACCATACAAATATTCGTTTGTTTTATTGCTTCGTTAGTGCATTGCCGGGTGATCAACGGCATTGACATCAATATTAAATTCGATAATTTTCATATTTTATTTTGAACATTCATGTTAATTAATGTTGATGTTCACTTCATTTCTTTTGATATTTTTAAGCAGACCAAGAGATATTACATCCTTTCAGACATTAATTCTGATCTCAATTCAATGGCTTCCACTTCTTCCTTAGCCCTCGTTCCTTCTCCTATGGCTAACTATGACATCTTTCTAAGCTTCAGAGGCGAAGATACTCGTTATACTTTTACAGATCATCTCTACGCGGCGTTAACCAATGCAGGAATCCATACTTTTAGGGATAACGAAGATATCAGTGGAGGTGATGATCTCAAACCTGAAATCGAGAATGCAATCAAAGCATCCAAGGGTTCGATAGTTGTATTGTCAGAGAACTATGCAACTTCCACATGGTGTCTTGACGAGCTTTGGTTGATCCTTGAGCAAAGGAGGAAGGTCAATCATTTCGTTCTACCCATTTTTTATCACGTTCATCCCTCTGATGTTAGGAATCAAGACAAAACTTTCAAGATAGAAGTCAAAATCTCTTCAAAGTGGACACATGATAACGTGAAACGATGGAGAGAAGCCCTTACACAAATTGTTGACTTGAAAGGCGAGCAAGTTTTGGGGTATGCTTTTCTCTCCCATCTTATAATTTAATTGCCATTGAAATATATATTATTTGATTGAATATTATATATGTAACGATCCAAAATCCAAAAAGATGAAGAACACAAAACCCACACAAGATCATCTAATTGAAGTCACAACCGAAAAGTAAAGTCTAACAAAATGAAGTCTACGGTGACGTTTGTTTTTAAGAGGTGCCTAAGTCTGAAGTCTGATTTCACTTCTGATTTATAAGAGGTAATGCTGAAGTTTGAAATTTGAATAAGTCAGATTATTTGTTTTTACGTATGAAGTCTGAAGTCTGAAATCTGAATCAGTGAGATTGTTTGTTTTTACGTCTGAAGTCTGAATCGGTTAGACTATTGCTTTTAATTAATCAAAACCTTCAAGTAATTGCAAGAAGTGCATATTGTATTTGATGAATCAAAACCCATAAATGAAGCATATTAATACAAAACTAAATGTCTTAACACCCTTTTTACTTCTTATTCATGATATTAATTAGCCTTCTTAGTTAAACTTCTCATTAATTTGTAATTTAAAAATACTAAATAAATTATTATTAAATAAATAAATTACCAATAATAAAATAATAATATAGAGGGGGGATAGTATCCTTCCAAATAGAGGGGAAATAAGGTTTTTGAGTGGATTGAAAAATTGTTTTTGAAAGGTTTGAATTTTGTGGAAGAATTTGGAATTTGGAATTTGGAGAATTTGGAATTGAATTGAATTTTTCTTTAAATGTTTGTATGTTTTTATAGATAATTTGTTTGTTAAGGCAAGCTGTTGTGACGACAAAGAGATTATAACATATTTTATGAAAAAAGTGAGGTAGAGATACAATGAAAATAATCGAAATCCATGGAATTTGTATTTGAAATGACTACCATCTCCAAGTGATACCGAAATATTGTGGGATTTTATTGAAATCCCAGGACTTCAAATTTAAACTTTCATTCAAACCAAACATATGATTGAAATTGTATTCAATTTCAAATCCTACCGAATCCCAAAAACTAAACGGGACCTTAACTAGGGGATGTTTGGTCTGATAGAATGGTTTTGAGAGATTTGGATTTCGTAGAAGAAATTGGAATTAGAGGGATTTGAAAGGATTTGGAATCTTTGGTGTGTTCGGTTTGTAGGATTTGGATTAGAATTATATTCCATTTTCTGTGAAAACAAATTGTATATAAATAAATTACCTTTTTTTTAATTAATTGAATATTATACAAAAAAAATATTTTCAACATATTTTAAAAAACATTATTATAAGTAAATCCTATAAGATCCAGCGAAATATCAACAACCCTCATGGGATTTCTAAATCCCATGTCTGTGGGATCTCAATGAAATTCTGGAATCTCAAATTTAAGAAATCATTCAAACCAAACATAAGATTGAAATGAAATTGAATTTCAAATTCCAAGTCCTATCCAAACCTACAAACCAACGGAACTTTTTAGATTTTTGTAGGGCATTTTAGCGGTGGGTGGAATACCTCTCCACCGACCAAGGCAATCTTGTTGGGCGGTTGGAGATGGTCGAGGCCATGTACTTTCTTATCTTCTCTCTGGATCAAAATCAACCTCTACCACCGAACATCACAACAGGGACGCACCCAGGTGGTGCATGTGGCACGAGCCACCGCTTCGTACCTCCATCTTTCTATAAAGAAATTATAGGGTCATGAAAAGTGTCACTTTATCAATTTGTTTTGTGCTACCGTATATATTTTAAAACTACAATGACGATACAAGTTTCTTTTGGTAGAGTTGGTTTGCAAGACTTTTCTTTAACCCCATACTTGTATTTGAATCTTGTTAGTGTCATTTTCTTAGTTTTAGCTTCTAATTTCAGAATTATTATGTTTCTGAGAAAATTTGCAACAAAAGACTTGAACACAATACCTTACAAATGAAAAATGACGAACTAATCAACAGACGAATGATGATTTTGTGAAAAATATCTCTGTATTTGTTTCCTAGAGTCAAATGGTGCCACCACTTGACAAAATTATAATTCTAGGTCTCTCTATGCGTCACAAACCTTCAGCCGCCGCCTAAACTTGCCTCTCACACCGTCCCCTCTGCCGCCATGCATGAGGTTTCTCAAAGCCATCTTGATCAAAACCAGTGAACCAAAAATTCCTTGCCTTTCATCCCTTCATCTAACCTCTAACCACTTAGTAGAGATTGATGGCTGATGGAGCCACCACCATCGGTTGAATCCATGATTCACCAAAATAACATATCCTCATCCATAATTTCTTCGGTTTTTGTTTGAAATCCCAAGGATTGAATAGTGAAATCAATTTGAAATAGCCATTTTCTAAGGGTTATAAGAAATAGTCATGAATTCTACCAAAGAGAATCCGTCAATTGACTAATTCCTCCAACCTGACATGTGGGAGCCATCTTTAATTTTGCCAACCAAACATGTGTTGAATATCAATGCTGAGCTTGTGAAATTAATCAGGCACCATTTTGAGTTCGAGTTGAACATTCTTGATTTATTGGAATGTTTCTTTGAGAAAGATATATAAGAAGGTTCTGTAGACGTTTACAACATCTAATTAATTATTCTAACAGTATCTTCAATTCTCTGATCATACTTGGAACATTTAATTATTTAAACATTATTTTCATTAGAACCTATGAAACAAGCCTTGCTTGCCATCCACTGAACTTGCTTACTTACCTTGTTTATTTGCAGGTCTGAAGTAGATTTTATAAAGAAAATCGTCGATGACATTTATTATAAAGTTGCTCGCAAAATAGTTAATCTTCCTCGCAATCTAATAGGGATGAATGCTCGAGATAAAGATATTAATTCGTGGTTAGAGAAAACTGATCTCAAAGTTTTAGCAATTTGTGGCATGGGAGGAAGTGGCAAGACAACGTTGGCCGATTACATTGTCTCTTCAAATTTGCAACATTTTGAAATCACCAGTGTTGTCAAAGGCATGGGTGCTAGTGGTACATGTCAAAAACAGGATAATATGCTTGAGCTATTCGAAAAATTTTCTGAAGATCTTTTAGGAGGGAGGAAGGGAAAAGCAATGCGTAGGTATATGATTTATCGTGTCTTAGAAATGAAAAAGACACTTATTGTTTTTGATGACATTGATGAACCAAGCCAGTTGGATCTTTTTCTTGGAACCGCGAAGATAAATGAAAGAAGCAAAATTATAATAACAACCAGGAAAATGAATACACATAATTGGTTTAAGTTTAGATCTTGGAGTTGCCAAGASTACAATATGCAATTATTGSATGATGATGAATCRTTAAAGCTTTTAAGTCTTCATGCCTTCGAGTTGGAGATTCCCATGGAAGGTTACGAGGAGCTTGCAAAAGAGGTGCTAGAGTATTGTGAAGGAAATCCACTAGCTCTTGAAGTGTTGGGTTCCTCTCTAAAACAGGATATTAGCATCGAATTTTGGAGAAGTACACTGGATGTATTGAAAAGAAATATGAATTTTGGAATTCAGTGTGTACTCAAAAGGAGCTACGACTCATTGCCAAATAAAATTAACAAAGAGTTGTTTTTGCATATTGCTTGTTTCTTTGTTGGTGAAGACAAGGATTATGTGGAAAAGATATTGGAGCATGATTATTGTGCATTATCTGGGATCAAAATCCTAACTGATAGATGTCTTCTATCTGTGTCACCAAACAAAAAAGTGATGATGCATCAACTGATTCAAGAGATGGGGAGAAGCATAATCCGCCAAGAATCAAACATCCCTGCAAAACGTAGTAGAGTTTGGCTTAGTAGTGAGTCTTATAAAATAATGCGCAAAGGAGAGGTAGGATGTTTCTAATGTTGATGTATAAACTTATTTTCCCTTTCGCACCGACCAATTTCATCTAAGATTCTATGGATTCCTCTTTTTCTATTTAGGGTTCAGAAACAATTGAAGGACTCGCACTTGACATGCAACTTTTGTGGAATGACCAGCATGAAAGCAAGGTAAGTGGAGAAAGGAATTACGGTGACACAACATAAACTAATGCCTCATGTTCATACAATTACAAAGATTACTTTTAAGTGATCTCAAGCACTTGAAGGAAAATTTCTAGTGCTTAACATTTATGTGTCCATTAGCAACTTAATTTGTTGTGACGATGCAAGTATATTGTACATGGATATCGTGATTCTGTAGTTCTTAATAGGTAAGGATAACATCATGGGAAGACATACATACACATACGTGCAAATGCCTTACATACATATATAGAAATCCAAAACCAAACAAGTAAAAGAGGATAAGTTTTTTATATATTTAGTCTAATTTCTAGACTATTACCCATCATTTGGAGTTTTGGTAGGAGTTATGGTTCTTATAGGAGTTTCTGGAGACGCATGGCTATGGTAGCAAACTAGGGGTGAGAATTTGTAGCTACTGTAGAAGGGAGGAAGGGATCTGGAGAGATAAAGGATAGGGGTAGAGTTTGTGAGCCGATAATTAGGCTTCCAGATCATTCTAGGTTAGGCTAGAGACATGTAGTTCGTCTTACATATTTATGTTTTCTTGTATTGTTGCTTACTTGTAATTGTTTTTTTCAAAATTTAGCCTATCTACCTCTCTTGTTTTCAAGTTCCTTTTTTTTATTGTTGTTAATTCCTTTTCCCCAATTATTTTCATTTCGAGCAAGCTTTCTCTTTTTTCGTGCACTTTGCACAAGTCAAAGTCTTTACTGAAGCATCCGCTCTCCTCCTAGCGGTCAGACCCCCCCTCCCCCCACATCCAACCATAGACCCCAACTCCAGTATGATATATTTGGCTCGTGTGATTTGTTCTTGTTTTCTTATTATCTGTCAATTTTCACTTCTCCATAAGCACAATAATAAAAGAATGCCTCATCAATATCCTTCCTATCCATCTTTGTGCATTTATTTATAGATAATCAGTAAGATTACTCACTTTCTTCCATGCTAAATTTGCAGTCATCAGAGCTGAAGACAGATTCACTCACAAAAATGGATAACCTAAAATTGCTCCGGCTAAATGAAGCGCATCTCACCGGATCCTACGTGGCTCTCTCAGAAGATTTAAGATGGTTATGCTGGCGTGGATTTCATTTAACAGCCGTACCCTTCGGCTTATTCCAAGGAAACTTGGTGGCTATAGACATGAGACATAGCAACTTGGAAGTATTTGAATCGCCTATTGTAGGAAATTGACATCCCTTTTTTATCGCTTCTTTTTGGATTCTCCGTATTTTATGATATTTAATTATGTGCATTTATAGTCTATGCCAAATAAGTCTTGTCACTTTTGCAACAGGTTCTTCAATCACTCAAGACTCTAAATCTTCAAGGCTCGCAGTCTCTCTCCGAAATCCGCAATATCTATCGACTCCCTAATCTTGAGACTTTGATTCTTTGTCATTGTTATGAATTGGTTCATTTTTGTGAAAGCATTGGAGGCCTTATGAATCTTGCTCTATTGAATATGATAGGGTGTAAAAGCCTCCCCCATATAGCTGCATCCCATAGAAGGTTAGAAGCTTCAACTTCTCATGGAGGAAGTACACAACAATCATCTTTGTCTTTGCCACACTCATTAGCATGGCTATCCCTCAGGGGCTGCAACCTTGAGTGTAGTGAGAATTTTCCTCTGAGTTTCAATGTTCAGCCGAAACTGCAGTACCTGGATTTAGGTGGAGGTTGGTTTGAAAGCTTGCCTTGTTACAATCATCTTGAAAATCTTAGGGTCCTTGACTTGACTTTGTGCCGTAGACTTAAATGGCTTGTATGCCTCCCAAGTGCACTTGCAGAATTGTATGTGTATTTTTGTTATTCGCTAGAAAAAATAACTTTCGAATCGCATCAGTTCACGTTACAAGAGTTTGGCTATCAAGGTTGTATCAAATTGTCTGAAATTGAAGGGTTTATTAAATTGGTTCCAGTAGCCAAAATGGATGTAACTGATTTGGGACACATGACGTGGCTAAAAGAATATCAAAATCATGTGGTGTCCTTGGTTGGTGATGATRAGTTGATCACCACTGGCCGAAGCAAGAGGATCCAGGTTCRTTGTTCTTTTCTAAATCAGATGCATAAGCACACACAAGCACATTGACATGCCACTAATTTTATATGAGTGATTCATRAACTTTATATATTGTTTGTGGCAYAGATGTTGTATGAATTCGGTATAATGAGCACATCTCTGCCAGACATAAGGGATCCAAACATAATGCCTAAGTACATATCAGAATCACCATCTTTGTCCTTTGAGGTGCCTTCATGTCCCGAGAGTATGAGGCTCATAGGATTGAATGTATGTTTCAAATATACAATATCAGGTAGGGAATGGACATGGTTTGCTAAAATCAGTACAACCAATKATGTTGATTATATGTATAATCCCCATCTCTTTGGCGACCCTGGGGTAGGAAAAGTTGGTATATGGTTAAGCTTTTGGCCAATTGGAAGCAARTTAGTCATCRGAGATAAAGTTAATGTGTCTATCATTGTGATGAGTGGAGTATTGGAGGTACAAGAGGTTGGTGCAAGCCTTGTCTACGTGAATGATGATKAAACCTTGGAAAATAACACGCAATGGGATTTATCTGCATTTCAACTAACAACGGGAGCGTTCTATCTTTGTCGGCGTGATCTTTTCATGTTAATGGAGGTTGGTAGATTGACTCGAGGCTGGMTCAGTATCCTAGTTGGTAATAACATTGATGATACAGGTATGTTATTCTTGTCAACCTAATTATAAGTGTTTTCAATTGAAATTAAGCCACAAATAGAGAAATTTCCTCATATCACACATTGTTACAGAGGTACGAGGATGGAGAAAGACTGGTCGACCTTATYYGTTAGACCCATCATTTATGGAATTGTCAGACCMATCACTTAYAGAKTTGTCATACCCATCACGTAGAGAGTTGCCWCAACCATCACGTCGTARAGACTTGCCAGACCTACTATCTTCAAAGTGGTCAGACTCATCATTTACAAAGTCAAAAAAGTTTTAGATGCATCGTCGATGGTTCTGAGATAGTAATTATGCTCTATAATATATTTTTTTTTTCATGAATTGGTAAGAGAATAAGATTTGAAGGGCATGTATGTGTGTGTATATATATATTAAAATTACGTTGCATTAATTTGTGGATCCAACCATAATGTATAAATAGGAGCTTTGTAATTTTGTTTGATAATAACAATTGTCATTGCTCTCCACCTTCACAAAAGGGGGTTACCAATTAATCTACCAATGATTCAATTACGATTTACATATTTCTCAAAATCTCCTCGACCCTGCTTTCAAGTAAGATATATTAGATTCATTTGGTTTAGTTTTATACTTCTCTAATCCCTATCCCTATGACACAGTGCTTGGCCATGAGCTCAAATTGAGAATGTTAATTCGGCCATCATAATCTGGTTTAGCACTGGCAACTTGTTGATTCGATTTAGTCAGTGTGATATTTAGATTTTGCTAACCTTGCTTCTTGTTTCCATGAAAAGACAATCACACGGAAAGATACAAGATTGCAATGTTTATATCGTCTTCTATAGACAAATTTATGGACTTCACTTCAAGCATACTCATAGAGACAAAGATATCTCGGAGTACATGCATTTGCATTTAGTGATGTATAGTAGCATTGAAGGTAAATGAATGGAAGAATAGATTCATTCTTTTGTAGGAGATTAAGTTCCTTCTCAACTCACAAATTCATTATGGAAAGCAAAAGAATAGTAGAATCGATATGTTGTAAAAGCTGGACTTCTGTATTTCCCTACATTGATTTTGCATCATGATCATGGAGGTGATCACTGTCTGCCAATTGAAGCAAGGGATTTCAATCCTCAAGTATGAGAGAAGAATGGAAAGTTTTATTGTTCAGACATTTCAAGGATCTGAAAATCAATTAAAATCTATCACATGCGACCTTCGTGGAGGTTGCTAATTAATGTACATGCCCGACATCAATTTTTTGTGGATGCTTTTCCTATTCATCTGCTTATTGTTTAACTAATTGTTACGAAAATACTTTTTAAAATGACGTAGGTCATTCTTACGTCCCATTAAAGATTAATCAATTTGGTGCTAGATAGTAGCCGAACTTAGCGAATGTTTAGTTAATTAATCACCTAATTTATCTCTTTCCAGCCATTGTTTTTTTATAATGATGACCTTTCATTAGTTAGTTATAGTGTGAATTTCTAGATTAGCAGAATTCTCAAATACCCTATGTACATGTATATCTACATAACAAAGAGGCTTCACCCATAAAAAAATYTGTCGGAAAAATCGACCACAGGCAGATCTCATYCCTGGAGAATTTAAAGTGTGACCAGTGATCATTACCAGCGGATTTTCAACCACTGAGGAAAAATCCATCGCTAATTCGTCAGTGATTCTGTCGGTGATCCGCCACAAATTCGTTTGTAATTACTGCTGAAAAATCCGTCGRGRAAGCCTCTTTGTTTTATAKTATGTAAGTTTACTAGAACCRTTGATCTAGATCTTGTTGATGAATGGGGATCAAGCATGTRTCAACGTATGGAAATACTAAGAATTCAAAGTTTATTCCGCTCAAAACATTAAATTGTTCAACAGAACACCTGATCAGCACATATGCATTGATTTCTATTTCTTGACAAACAATCTGAGAATTTCCGAGAAAACTATAATCATATCTCAAATCAAGAGAATAAAGGAGGGTGAATGTTTGCTATAATCCTTGATTTTTTTTGTTTATCTTTTGTTATCTTCTTGTCAAGATCAACTAAGTGTGTTTGATATGTAGACCGGACAGAACATGACTGAACATGCAAGAGTGAGATAGCTAGGTGAAACAATTGTGGAAATTTTAGGATCTTAATTTAACATGGGTAACTTTTTATCAAGCTTGTCTCGTCTCCTTAATTTTTGTTCCATCTAATTTGATAGGGACAAACATAAAACATTTTTGTCCAACTAAAGAGCCGTTTACCAAACGCTTACTCAGGTAAGCGCTTACCAAGTCAYATTATCTCACGGGATGAATATGGTAAGGACCAAGAATCTTACCCGGTAAGAGTAAGACAAAGACCAAGAGTCTTACTCGGTAAGTGAGGGYGACGACTCTTACCATGGTAAGCACTAACCGATTAAATTGTTGCATGCGATTTCGTTTTGGTGGACTAAAATCTTACTCAGTAAGTAAATAATAGTGTTAAATTTTATTGGTAAACATTTACCAGGTAAGTATCTGGTAAATGGCCCCTAAGTCTTGCCATGTTTTAGTCTAAATATCGCACCATGCATACAAAAAAAGTTTTTGTTACGTTCTATCACATCTTGTGATACTCTATCCCATCTTGTCTCACGTACCAAACGAACCTTAATCTTTGCAATTAGTAACTCATAGTTCATAAATTTCTTCTAGCAATATTAATAGATATTCGTTTTCAATTACAAAATCCAATTATTCATTGCATTTATTTGAAAAGTATTCAATGAGTTATAATTACATATTAACTTTTTATATGTTTTTTAGGAGTTCTAAATAAATATGAGTTGAAATATAGAATTTTCTAATAAATATATAACAAAAAGTTAAGTGTCAAATAATTACATATTTGACCAAAGGGTTGGGTTCACGTGAGACCAGTCTGTTTTCGTGAGACCCGTGAGATCATATTTTTACACTTGAAACTTCACAGCAAAAACATTGTGAAAGTAAAAAAAAATCCAAACCTTCAGAGCAAAAACACTGTGAAGGTTACCTTTACAGCATTTTTACTGTGAAGTTTTAAGTGTAAAAAACTAGTCTTACAGATCTCACAAAAACAGGTTCGTCTCATATGATCCAAATCTTTGATCAAATATTGGTCTTTGAAGAAATGATAACATTGGAAAATGATAGAGGAATAATGGTAAGTTTCTCCCAATTAAATTGTGGTCAATGAAAATGTACAGGGTTTTTTTTGTCATTTAATTAAAAGTAAGATTGGACATTTAATGATAGAGTGACTTACAGATTGGTCCGTCTAGTTTATGAAAATTTTGACTAACGTTTTTAAACTCGAAAAATTATGGATTTGTTCCGGTGGTTGTCAATTTTTATAACTGGATTCCCTTTTTCTAACTTTGTTGACGATGACTTTATCAACTCAAGGATATTTAGGTCTTTTTACTTTTTCTCTTATTTTTTATTATAACCACAAAAATATATTGAATCTTCTTCTTCATGAAGAAGGATGAAGAACATACCAAATAAAAACTATAGTCCGAATTCAAAATCATAAACATAAATCAAACTCAAACAAAACCTAAATTGCAAACATAAATCAACGTAGATAAAATCCCTAAATCAAATCTTAAAACCATAAAACACTAAGGGGGCATTTGGTTCGTAGAATGGAATTCAGTGGAATTGGAATTCATCAAATGAATTTGACTTTGAGGGAATGAAATGAATCTGATGGAATTTGACCATGTCTTGTGATTGCGTTTGGTTGCATGGAATTGGAATGGAATTCTTAACAGAATTGGAATTTTTTTTGTTTGGTTCACGGAATTCAACTTTGGAATCGGAAATTAAATATCAACAAATGACTTTTTATGATTTTTTTGTCATTTTTTTTAAAATTAAAATTACCATTAAACCAAATTACATTATATATTAACATCAGACAAAATTTGAAATTGTTCACTTATATTACTAATATCTGAAATTTGGATGAGGGCTAAGAAATTCGTAGAAAAGGAATTTGAAATCCTTGGTATATCAAGTGGAATTGTGTAATCGATGACCGAATGAATTTGTAGGAATTGAAAGGATTCATTCGCTTATAATTTGTGAACCAAACATCATATTTGGAATTTGGTCAAAGGATTGGAGATTCCAATTCCTTTAAATTTCGACTAACCCGTATGCGTTTGGGTTGGGTTGGGTTAAAAATTTTCAAACCGCAAACATTGGGTTGGTTTGTTCAAATGTCTTCAATCCGATTAACTCAATCCATGAGCACCCCTATTTCTACCTATAATTATAAGTTGGTTCATAAAATATCTTAATCCTAATTATTTAGCAGGACAGCAAAACATTTCGTCCCTTACGTCTATTCAATAATAATTTTGTAAATTAATTTCAAGCTAAWAAAGTTTAGTTTGATTTTTATTTAATTTAATATTCTAAAGAATTTTATTTTAAATCGATATAATAAAGTTTCTAAGCTTTTTATCTTATAGCTATCTTAATGGGTAACGTATTGATCTTGTAACATTTAATAACATGAATATTATAAGACAATAGGTTATCTATTAAGGGTTAGGTTCAGG